GTGTTCAGAGATGAATATTATTTTCTAATTCCTGAACTCTGGGGATTTAAAGTAAATTTAGAAAAATAAATCTCTCTACATCTTATCTGCTATTAGAGTTGCACTTTCTGCTTCTAGGACATATGCTTTATTTGCGAATCTGCCCTGCTGTTTTACATTTTCAGCGTACAAGTTGAGTTCAACACACAGACATTGGCCACACCAAAAAGTACCGTGAGCGTTTGCTGCTAAAATAATTTATTTGATAAAAGTAAATGTAACTGTCAGCCTCTAATGGTAAATCACAATTTAAGCTCACAGTTTATAAACCTTATTATTGATATTATGTGATGTATATCACACGGTCCTTCGCTATCTCTTATACGTGTGATATAAGTTAAAGGTGAATGAACATAGTCCTTATGCCTCTCTTGGCTTTGCTGTGATGTAATTGATAGTTTGAAAAATCAAATCATCAAAGTCTCGTAAGTGTTTCTGTGTGAATGAATTAAGTACTGGAAATACCATGAACAGTTTATTCCTCAAGGGATATCAGGTATTTGATTGACTTAGCTACAAATACTGAAGTTATGGTTCTTTTTTCTCACATATCTGATCTTAAATACATTGATAATGCTAGTCATATTATTGTAATTTATGAATAGTGGATTCTGAAGATAATGTGTTTTCTTATTGAACATATTGTTTTTAAAATAGGTCATTAGATTCACTGAAGAAAGCCCAGGTACGATCCAGAGTAGGTACTTATGCGTGCTCAGTGAGTGAGGGTCTTAATTCGAGGAGGGTCTCAGGCACTTGGAGGTGTGATCTTCACATTCTACTAAGGTTTCAGGACTTGTAATACCAAGGGCTCCTATGCTCTGGGATATTTTACACTTCCAGGACAGCAGTTCCCATTCCTGATGAGGACTGAATCACTCCCGTTGTATTGATCCAGCACCATCTCACTGTTCACGTATTCCCTGGGTTACAAGTTTAACTTCTTCATTGCCAGATAATAATTGTAGGCAGCAGATTTTTGTTTTTGAATGAGAATTTGTGTCCTAATGGTTCAAAATCCCGCTACCTGCTGTGGCACAGGGATTATGCCTTTACGGTAGATTTGGAGCATTTTAGGTGTGATTCAGCTGTCTAGACATAGATGTTTAGTGAGATGCCTTGTGGTATCCACACTGGCCACTCAAGCAACCAAGGGTGACAGGAGGCCTGCAGGATGTCTGTGCCCTTCTGGAATGTCAGCTGGCCAGACGGGGTACTGAGGACTGTCTAAACTGGTTTGAGATAACCGTAAGGGTGCTTAGGCAAATGAATCCTGTCCTTTGTGTCAGGACAAACAGATTTGGGCTGTATGGAACGCCTGATGTGTAAGGGATAAAGTGCTCACTAAATCAAGTGGGGCATTGGTTTGAAGTATGGATTAGAAGGATCAACTAACCTGTTGCATCTGTAGTGCTTGTGGCTTCATTTTCATGCTTGACAGAAATTGCTGTAGGCTGCAGCAGTTCATCTGGAATTGAGCTAATGATCCAATCCCAGCTGTTCCAAGTGATGGATGCAGTCTATGTCTGTAAGGCACTGAAGGGAAACTGGCAGTGGGTGTCTTGGTAGGCGCAGGATGTGGGAGCAACTGGGGAAACGTAAGGAGTTCATCTACTTGGCTTTGTTTTGCTTGGGCATGATGTTGCAATCATGTCATTATGAACAGTTTGTGGTGTGAAAGAGGAAGCGTTAGCCAGCCAGCCGTAGTTCCAAAACATTTAGTATCTGTTAGCCATACTTAAAAGGAAAATGGATATAGGAAGGGCATGTTTAGACTAAAAGTAAAAAGTCAAAGTTTAAAAGCAGTTTTAGTAAAGATATTATGTTCTCTGGTTTGACTATTGTCAATCTTACTGTAAAATACTGCAAGTTGGTATTTACAGCGCTAGTAGTGTTAGGCATGTAAGATGTTGATACTGATAAAGCATGGAGATTTGCCTTTATGGCCAGCTTTAGTCCAGTGTTACTGTGGGGAATCCAGTTCTTTTTCCCCGCTATGCTGTTACTTGGGGATCTGCTTAAAGATCAGATAACTTCTCATTGGCTGCTTCCAAGTAGCACAAGCAGAATATGGATCTTCTGTTTCTACAGCTGTCTCGATGATACTATATTTCTTTCTTCTTTTATTGGAGATTTGCCTTTATGGCCAGCTTTAGTCCAGTGTTACTGTGGGGAATCCAGTTCTTTTTCCCCGCTATGCTGTTACTTGGGGATCTGCTTAAAGATCAGATAACTTCTCATTGGCTGCTTCCAAGTAGCACAAGCAGAATATGGATCTTCTGTTTCTACAGCTGTCTCGATGATACTATATTTCTTTCTTCTTTTATTGACTGTGACTTACAAATTGGTAGATATTAAATGTCACATTAATTCTATGAGTCTTAAGACCAGCTAAGGTAAAGGCTTGAGTTGCAGTAATAATATTAATAATAATAATAATATTTTAATTTAATTTTCTTAAAAAATAAAATATTCTTCTCCTTAGATACGAGGGGTATTAGACTCTCCTTTGTCTCTGGATACATCTGTAATTACCCTTATTGCTCTATAGCCAAATCACAGTATAGAGGTTGTTTAGAAGTTGTCAGCATTGGGAGTACTAGAATGTTCTTTGAGTATCAAGTTTGAGTGTAAATACTTATCCTTTGATATCTCTGAATACTTTAATAAACAGATACTGTGTATTTGTGATCTGGCCCCCAAGAGTAATGCTACACGGCACAAAGATAGGTGATATCTTTTAGTTATTTTTAGTTAAAATTGTATAGTTTGTTTCTCAAGAATTTTAGTATTAAACCTTTGCAGTGGTTCTGTGTTTGCAGTGGAACAGTTGTGCTTGGATTTAATCTTAGAATAACTTCAGTAAAGCTCAAGTTTTGGTATTGGCTGGTCATCTGGTTTCTTCAGGAGCTTTTGGCAGTATTAGATGCCAAGCTCTTCTCTGTGGGTGTGCTTACCTCCAAAACTCTTCTTACCCGTTGTGATTTAAAATGAAGACATCGAGTACAAGAAGTCTTGTGAGATTTAACTGAGGTTTGGTGTCTCGTCTTTTTGGTTTAAGATGTCCTGTACATGGCTAGGAATTCACACTGCTTTTTTTCCCCCTGTTTTGAGCACTCAGAGCTTTGTTGTAAAATACTGTTTGGATAGAGCTTTCTCAGCTGTCAGGTGTATTTGCATATGTAAAATTGATACGCTGAAAGTGTCTGGCCTTCAAAATTGTCTAGAATAAAAATTATCTAGCCATTATAGAGTGAGAAAGTGTTTGCATCCTTCAGATGTCCTGTAATTTACACAACATGCCAGTAGCTGGGAATGTTTGCTTTTGCATTTTTCTGAAATTCTATTTGTGCATTTCAGGGTTGAGCAGTAATTTCTGCAACTGTCTGTCTTCAATACTCCTTTATAACAAATAGCTTGATAAAATAGAATTAGTTTATCTGAGCCTTTGATTCCCAAAATACACCGTTGTTTGGGGTTTGGGTTTTTCTTAATCAAGAGGTTCTGCATTCATGAGCAAATGCTCACTGACTATTTTTAAAACTGTACTGCAGATAACTTTGTTTTTTCAAAGACTTCTTGTGCAGTATTTGCGTATCAATACTGTAGTGCTGTTGGATAGTTACCTGAACATCTAGCATGTGTTGTTATCAAACTTAAAAAGGCAGCAATAAAACCATCTTTATTTGAGAAGCATGTGTTCACTTTCAGTCACTTTCATGTTGGTCTGTTGATGATGTTTAAAAATCATCAAGGTATTTTTAAAATTACCAGGAACGTTGCAGATATCCTAGATGCTAACCCTTGCTGTATACACTTCTAGTATGGTGTTAAGGTCGTTGCACTTAACCTGGCATTTGGATCAGTGGTTTTCCCTGTTAAAAAAAATCTTGATGTCTGGTTCTATATAAGATACTAAGAGTAAAAG